ACTTATTTATAGTAGTGGTAGATTTATAATATGTTGTAGACCTATTTATAGTCGTGGTAGTGGTAAATTTATAATATGTAGACTTATTTGTAGTAGTGGTAGATTTATAAATATGTAGTAGACTTATTTATAGTAGTGGTAGAGTTAATCAATAAAGGGTAAAATTGTAATTTACGGATCATCTTCTCCACACAACCAAGCTTCTGTTAAACTCTAACAATGGCGGCTAACTACCTTTTAGCTCGTTTTTACTGTATTTTAACTTGTTTTCAACTGGATATAAGCTAAAACTAGTAGATCTAACATCATATATCTCTTTTCTAACCAAAAATCAAAAGATTTCAAGTTTTTTTTTGCTTGTGATTTTCAATCCGATTTTATCTAAATCCGGCATCACACCTCTGCCGAGCGCCGAGCGCGTCTTCGGTGCTTCCGCAGCCGCAAAGGCTGCGGTTTCAAACAAATTTCTGATTTTTTTTTTTAAATAATTAGAATGGTATTTTCGTAATAATTTTTTTTACTAAGGTTTATATGTCTTTTATGAGGAAAAACATATAATTTTTYTTACTAAGGTTTATATGTATTTTATGGTGGTGATATACACATTTAACTTCTAATCGGTGGAGATATACACATTTAACTTTTAGTTCATGGAGAAATATACAGAGGGTAACATTTGGGAGACATATACGCATATATCAAAGTTTTGGTGGGTAAATAAACAGTTTTTCCCTTTTATGACCTTTGTTAAGTTTCAATCTTGTTAAAGAGTTGTTCTAGTAATTATGCCATTTTTCAAAGTTGTTTTAGTAATTTTCCCTATGTTTTTTTACCATACATTTTTCCAAAAGTACTAAGAACATACAATGTTTCATTATAAATATAGAACAAGTGTGCGGTCAAAAGTTGAAAATATAGATCGATATATCGTCATGGTTCAGAGGTACTTAACCTCTAGTGTAAATCTCTTTCCTTATGCTTTTTGATTTTATACCTTCATGGCTATTGGTCGAAGGTCCTCTTTTATTTCTTTGTAACCAGCTCCTAAAATATGAAATACAACCAGATCTTAAAAA